TACATTCACACAACAACCATATATAGCACTAATATCCTACTACTAAATTGCTCTCTCTCTCTCTCTCTCTCTCTCTCTCTCTCTCTTTGAAAATAAATTCGCAAATTAGTAGAACAAAATAAATAACAAATTTACAACCGGTAATTTAATAAACATTTATTTGCAAATTTATTAAAAAACAATGTATAACAATTATTTATTATTACAATGGATTCAAAATACAAAAAGAAAATAAAATACAATGTAATCATAAAATCGAGAAATTGATGGGAAATATGAGATGAGAGATATTGATCATCGTTTGGCCCAAAGACAGGTCACTAACAATGAGATAGTCTTTGAAGTAATCCATGAGAAACCAAACGGTCTCTAAACTCACTTCAAGACTCACTTCCATTCCGACAAATAGTATGAAATCAGATACGACTTCACTGTATGTTTTGATGCATTGAAAACAAATAATGATGGTTAAAATTCTATACATCATGTTTGTTGTATAGGAAATAAAGTTATATGGATATTGAATAGGAATAAAAATAAATTAGTGTTGATAATCATAAAACATAATGGTTTGTGTATATCATAAAAATCAATGTTTGCCAATCTATTTGCTCGCAAAGAAATGAATTTGTTTTTTACAAACAAATACATCGATTATAAGTGCTGTAAATCATGGGATAAATAGATGGATATAAAAATAAAATCACTTTCAATTGTATCTATAAATCCAATTCAATACAATAAAATGTTTGTATTTTTCTTTTTCCTTTCTTATATTTACTTTGCCTTTAAATTCTCTCTCTCTAAATATTAATTATAATAGAAGTTAAAAATAGAAATTAATGTAAATGTACCATGGAATATTAATTATAACATATTTGTATAGATTGCAAATAAGCGTTGAATTAAAATATAAATTGTTATTTGTTTTGTTTAAATGAATGATGGCTTTAATTAAATTATCATAAATTACACTAAAATGTCTTCAATGGCACATAACTTACATCTTAAAATTTTTAAACATTTCAGTAAAATTACTAAAAGCCATCTTTTATCAAAAATCACATACCATGTAAAGCAGTTATTTTAAAGTTTAGAACTTGCTTTTATTTATTTATTTAAAACTTAAAGTTATAAAATATAAAATCAATGTTATAACTTTTAATTTATTTGTTGTCTTTTAATATAAGACAATTATTTATAAGAGAACCCATAAATTATAGAGAAAACTTACGGTAGACTTGATATAACAGATATAAAATTATAATATGTGTTGACAAACATATTGCATGATTGC